TTGAACCTGAAGGCGTATTTTCACCACATCCAATGGGGTCACTGTAAAGTAATACTATATTGTTATATACATGAATATGAACTGAATCAAGTGTTACAATGAGCATATAGCCTTGTCTAAGGTAGAACATGGAGGTAGAAAAGAGAAGGAGTAAGGACGCTATTTAAGCCCATGTTAATCTTAAACATCGTCTATAAAATTGAATGCGCAAACCATAAATACCAGAATTGTGCATGCGCAATGACCTTTATCGGACCACAAAGGTCATTTCACACTTGTAGATACCGGAAATTCTGCATACGGACGCTACCAAGATGTGTGCATAATTCTTTTTGATATTTTTTATCGCAATAGTCGTCCAACTTTGGACATTGATTAAAAAATTCCCGCAAATTTCCTCAGTGAAATTTAAAGATACATGATAAGATTATAACAAGATGTTTTGACTCGTCATTTTTCATTGGTGTGCAGAACTGTGCAGATGTCGAAAATCGCGCCTTTTGTTGTAATAGATTTTGGGCGTTGAGTACACTCAGCGTACGTTTTTCGCTGCATTTTGTATTATTGTTATTTGTTTGGGCATGCGCAGTGCGTTGAGAATCTTCGTGAAGCTTCCGAATACAGCCGAAACACATAAGCCGATTAACTGTGACATTGTACAGCGTGTTTGCAAACTAATTACAATGTGTACTGAGTAAACAAATCCAAAGCATCATGAAACCAGCGGAAACAATAGCGTCCACTCTCCTTCTCTTTTCTACCTCCATGGGTAGAAGAATAGTATTTTAGAAAAATGTTGACAGCTTTAACCGGGACAATAACGGCCAAAACCTATCATTTGTAGAAAGCATCTGTCTTTCGGATGATGTTAGAAAATACAGGAGAATATTCTTTCAAAATCTAAATACAATTTGGAAGTTGAGTTATTGAAAATATCTGAAAGTGCAAATTTCCTTTGATATTTCAGTTGACCAACTTGAGGTGACATTTTCTTCCCTTCAAGTTGGGAATAACAATTGCTTATATGTTACTAGTATCTATAGGTGTTTGTAATTGACCAACATAGCGTCTAATCCTCCTTCACACGTACTTAAGGTTGTTGTAGTTATGTTTGACAATCATGAATAATAATTAAGTAGTACTTGCACAGTGTACCATAAGTAAACAAAAACCTGGCTCACGTAAGTTGTATTTATGTGTGACAATCATGAATAATTACAAAGCAATACTAACACAGTGTACACAAAAGCTTGTGCACTTGTTATGAGAAAGGAACAACATTCATCTTATCATAG